GGGAAGCGGACGAGCATCTGCAGATGCATGGGCCGTACGATCAGTAGTCTTTCTTTCTTTTTTACCAGATCCTTCAGCACCTTAAAATGCCCATTTTCAGCGCCCTCCCTCCAGCAGTGCTTCTACGATTAGCGGCCGGTCATTTCCAAAAGTACGCTGTCGACGCACGCGCGTTTTCAATTGCTCAGAGGCACAAACAGATACCGGAGATTCCCTGGAGACGTCTTCAAGCAACTTTGGGAACTGACGGTCGGTGTACCCTGTACTCGAGCCTTTTATCGTTGATAATCTGCCTCTCCAGTTCAAAATCTACACCGGGATCCTCGGTGCCTTCCTTCCCTCCCCTCTGATAACTACTAACTATCCCTACGTATATGTATACCAGGCGTGACCCCGGTCTGGCACAAAGCGTCCGACCCGCCAAACTCCGACTCGGACTCAAACATCTCGGACGATGACGATTTCGAGACCGAGGAGGACTCAAGTAATTCGCGCCCGACGAAATTCCTGCGCCCAAGGGAGCCGTACGATCTCTACGGCTTCACACCGCCCATCGTCGAGACCGACGCGCAGATCCAAGCGCTGCTGGCTGCGTCGCGCGTTAAACGCGATGCACGCGCGGAGAGGTTTGTCAGCGATCCCGCGAGGGGGATACGGATTTACCTGTCGTCGTATATGTCCGCGCAGGGGCTTACACTGTAAGTAAGATCAAACTGCCCCCCTCAGGGTATCTTGATTTTTGTCTCTTTCTGTAGGTCCGACCGCAACCTCACAAACGCCCCGCACCTCCTCCGCTTCTTCGTCACCTTCCTCCTCCGCAATGAAGTCTTCCCTGCCAACTTGCCCGTGAACGACAGTTTACAGCGCTCACTGGAGATCATCGAGCGCGCGGGGACGGAGCTCCCGCTTACGTCCAAGATCGCGAAAGCCCTGCCCGACGCGTTCTCGGCTGCGTGTCGGGGGTGCTGGGGTGGCGTTGGAGAGTACACAATTGGGGTCGATGCGTTCGAGGATGCGCTCCGCGCGGATAACGTTGAGGTCGTCGATGCTGAGGAGGCACTCGGCGGGGAGCTGGATGCGGATGAGCGTTCGAACAGCGGTGACGGAGAAGACGGAGGCTGGGCTCCCTGGACCGCTACTCCCGCCGCGACGAATTGGCAACTCCCCCCCTCGGCGACGCTCCTCGCCCTCCTCGGCCCCACCACCCTCCCATTAACCCACGCACCGGGCATCGTCGAGCGCTCCGTGCGGCGCATCGTAGCCATCCACGCGCCTGGACTCCTACCTGAACCTCGTATCAATACCCAACTCGAGGGGGCGCGTGCCGTGGAGGAGGCCCTCCGCGCACGGCTGTGCGCCGTCGAATTGGCGCCGTGGCCGGACTGGAATGGGGAGGGGTCGGAGTACGAGACGCCGACGATCTTGCGGGGCAGCTCCGTCCCTGTCAAAGGACATCCATCCCAAGTTAGCGTGCAGGAAGGGAAATTAGGGAATATCACCCTACTCGTGGACTCAGCCGCTGCGGAGTATCTGCGCGTCGGGATGGGCTTGGGTGGAGTGTGGGTTAAGTTGCAGAGGGGTGGTGGTCTCGGTGGATTTGAAGCCGAGGACGGTCAAAGAAAAAGAGATAAAGAAGGAGAAAGAGAGGGAGAAAAGGAAAAGGAAAGAGACGGGGACGGGGACGGAGATGGAGACGGAGATGGGGCAAGGGCAATGGCGGAAGGACAAGACTTGTGGTATGTGGATAAAATTATGTGGGTCTTACCGAGCTATTGGATTGCCGATTCGAAGGTGGAGTAGTCGTTCTTTGGTGTATATAAAATCAAAATGTTTCCTTGCTGGTGCATCGGCGAAGAGCAGGAGGTGTTGATTCATCACGGAGTCGACCATCGTTCGACGCAGACGTGAGGTCCAGTGTTAAGACTGGAATTTGGGCATAAATTGGTGCGTCAATGGGGGCAAATCGGTGCATCTTCGCAACCCTTACTCCAAACACCACACTGCTAGAGACACACATCCATTGGAATTGTCTTGAAGTTCAATTTGGCCGTAATGAACGATGCCTGTAATTGGCTACTCCATTCAAGGGCCTCTCAACCTTCTCCGGCGCATGGACAGGACGGAGAGAAAAAAAAGAAAGGGAGTGAATTATTGAGACAAGTCTACAATCCGTCTATATTGTACACTACAGTTGTCGACGGCCCAGTGGTTCTGAAAGCCTATCTACTGAACAGTAATACAAATTCAAACGTCAAGAAGCAAGTCTGCGTGAAATTAGGGGAATGTGTAGGTGTATCGCGTTGATCTATACTGCTGATCTAGGATGTACGACGCTCCGTATCCGCATTCTAGAAGTCCTGTCCGGCCGTGAGCGTCTAGCGCTGGGGAACGAATGATGTGAAGGAAGTCCTTCAAAATCCGCCGGGTCATTACGGGGTCTCCCCGGCTCTATCCAGTGCCTGCCGAAACCGAGTCTTCCCGATGAGCTTTGTCGATCCAGTACCAAGTAACCAAGATGAACACACCTGGATCCGCTTCTCCAGCCCTCCCAGCCGTCGTTCGAGCTCCGAAAAGCGCTGGACCTTCACTTCGTGGTATTCCCGCAGCATCCTCGCCTGCTCGTCTTTCAGCACGTGGAATGCGGCGTCCAGTTGGTGGTGCCACGGGTAGAGGACGGTCGTTTGGAATACGAGGGCGGAGGTGGCCACGACGAAGTTGACGTAGGGCAGGAGCTGCCTGGCGCGGGGGCCGAAGACCATGGTGGGGACTACAGCGAAGAGGAGGAGACGGTGGTGGAAGTCGGAAAGAGGATGTACCGGACACGTTGGCCGCTGACAAGCCGCTGATTTCTTTTGACGATCCGGTCTAGAGCAGTCTAGACTCGGATTGATCGCAAAGATTTCGGAGTGATCTCAGGCTGGACGGTCAGGCTCAAGCCGATCGTGCCGGGTTCAAGTCCAAGTTGATTTTTTTTTGTCTCGCTCTGGACAGTAATCAGCCTTGACATTTCGCGAGTGAATCAAGAGCGCAAAATATCGGGTGTGGTGTGCGGCGCACGGCGAGTGCGACTATGCTAGTTCTCGCTTTCTGGTAGCTTGCTGGTCGGGGTTCGACTCCCCGCGTCCGAATCCGCCGTTTGGCTCTTGAGGCATTCTTTTTCCCCTTCCCCTATATATTCAGCTGTGTCACCACAGAGGTCCACATGTATGCCGCTTACTATCGTTTCAGCAGTACTGCAGCTGAAGTCTCGACTCAGGTCTACGTACGAAGCGCGTCCAATATTTCTTCCGTTGTAAGTATCGTTCCTGAATCCTTGCCCTCCAGTCAAATGGCAATTATTGGATCCGACTGCTCTATTCCGTGCTGACACCTTCATACCCTGCACAGACTCGGTGGCGAGAGGCTCGCATCCACATTATGTAGAAGTGATGGTAATCCATGTTGATTTGTGGAAGTCGCCTGTTCGACTCAAGCCCGAGTCGTAGATCCGTGATCTCGATAACTTTTCTTCCGAGGAGGTTTTTTCTCCGCCTCGAATGTCATGATCTTTGTGACATCTTACACAAAGCACCGGTGTTGCTGATCCGCCCTGGGTCTCAACCGTGGGGCTAATTTCTCCCTGTAATTTCTTCTTGCGCACCGGCTCCCGCCTTCTGAATCTGCACCCGTCCTCGTTGATTCGATCTGGTTTATTCACGTTTACCTCACACTGTAATTATACACCGACTCGGTTGCGAATGGTTCCCCACAGGCTGCCTCACAGCTTTGCCATGGTCCGGGGAAGTTGCCTGTTCGACTCATGCCCGAGTCATGATTCCGAACCATGGTTTTCAATCTTTTTCCCGAACTGCCCTCTGGATCTCCGTTCGTCTTCTCAATCCCATCTCGTTTGTTCAAGGAAAAATAGGACAGGAGAACGACTCGGTAGCGGACGGTTCACATCCCCGCAAGATGGCAAGATCACACCAATAACATAACCCGGGGAAGTTGCCTGTTCGACTCAGGCCCGAGTCATAGCAAGCGTCTAACAGGGCTTAACTTTTGTGACGTTCCAAGCCTGAGGGAACCGTCCTTCGTTCAAACGTCATGATCTTTGGGACCTCTTGCGCAAAGCACTGGCGTAGTTGTCTTTGTTGGCTGTATCCGCTCTGGGTCGATGGTCAGGCTGATTCCTCTTTGTAATTTTTACTTCCACCCGGCTCCCGCCCTCTGAATCTGCGCTGGTGCCAGCCAATCGAATCTATTTTATTCACGTTTACCTCAGATTATACACCGACTCGGTTGCGAATGGTTCGTATACCCACCGGCTGAATGCTTGAGAAATATGGCATGGTCCGGGGAAGTCGCCTGTTCGATTCAGGCCTGAGTCATGAGCCATCCTTCGATGTCTTTTTCCTCAACGCTCCTCTGAATCCACGTTCGTCCTCGTTAATCCAATCTCGGTAATTCATAAGAAATGAGATAGGTGAACGACTCGGTTGTGGACGGTTCTCAGACCTGCAAGGTGGTCAACATCCTCTCGTCCCATAAGAGCCATACCGATTGAGGGCGGCTTCTTTTTTGTGAGGTTGCAAGCCTGTGGGAACCGTCCCTCCGTACTTTGTTCAAACGTCATGATCTTTGTCACCTCTTGCGCAAGGCGCCGGTATGGTTGTCTTTGACTGTATCTGCACTGTTTTTCAACCGTGGGTTAATTTTTCCCTGCAGTCCTTTCGCACCGGCTCCCACCCTTTGAAATTTGAATCTACGCCCGTGCTGGTTAATTCGAACTGCTTTATTCACGTTTACCTCACATTATACACCGACTCGGTGGCGAACGGTTCATATCCCCACAGCCTAAGGGCTTTCAAGATAATGTTATCGTCCGGGGAAGTTGCCTGTTCGACTCAGGCCCGAGTCATATGCGATCTTTAGTCTTTTTTCCTCAGCCGTCCTCTGGATCTACGCTCGTCCTTATAAATCCATCCTCGCTTATTCAGGAAACAATGAGACCGGAGAATGGCTCGGTAGCGAACGGTTCGTATCCCCACAGGCTGAAGGCTTGAGAGCTATGTCATGGTCCGGGGAAGTTGCCTGTTCGATTCAGGCCCGAGTCATACCGATTAGGGGCCGCGTCTTTTTTTGTGCGGGAAATGTCCTTCGTTCACCTCTTGCGCAAGGCGCCGGTATGGTTGTCTTTGACTGTATCTGCACTGTTTTTCAACCGTGGGTTAATTTTTCCCTGCAGTCCTTTCGCACCGGCTCCCACCCTTTGAAATTTGAATCTACGCCCGTGCTGGTTAATTCGAACTGCTTTATTCACGTTTACCTCACATTATACACCGACTCGGTGGCGAACGGTTCGTATCCCCACAGCCTAAGGGCTTTCAAGATAATGTTATCGTCCGGGGAAGTCGCCTGTTCGACTCAGGCCCGAGTCATAGTAAGCGTCCGATAAGTCTTATTTTTCATGACATCCCAAGCCTGAGGAAACCGTCCTTCGTTCAAACGTCATGATCTTTGGGACCTCTTGCGCAAAGCGCTGGCGCGGTCGTCTTTGGTGGCTGTATCTGCAGTTTTCAACCGTGGGTTAATTTTCCCTGTAATCTTTGCCTTCGTCACTGGCTCCCGCTCACGTTGTAACTATACACCGACTCGGTTGCGAACGGTTCGTATCCCCACAGGCTGCCTCACCGCTATGGCATGGTCCAGGGAAGTTGCCTGTTCGATTCAGGCCCGAGTCATGGGCTGTGATTTTCCTGCCTTTTTCCTGAACTGTCCACTGGATCCGGTCTCTTCTAAGCATTAACCGTTCTTTAACGAGATGGTGCGTAAGCTGTGCTTTTGCTTTATACAGGTTTATCTCTATTTCGATCCCTCTGCTCTCGCGGTTGAAAAACGAGGTCCTTTACTCCATGAGTATTGGTGAGCGGGGTCCTGATGGGGTCCCTTCCATCCTGCTTTCTTCGTCGCTGCGCCTGCGCAAGCATTGCCGAAAGCCTACGCAACGCGCCAAAAATTCTAACCCCGGCAATATTGCGCACCCCTCCTTGACCCCTCCCCTTTCGGCCAAACATGTGCCCATGCACAGTTGAGAATTCGATGCATTAGGCGAACACAGCCTGATCTCACAGACGATTAGCCCTCTGCGCTCAAACGGGCACATTGAGCGCCTGACCTGTGCGGAGTTCATTTCGGCATATATAGGCTACGGCGCAGCACATTTTCTCCGAAGATATCCCACTATAAAGGTGCGCCGTGTTTAGGCTTGAGCTCGAATCCTCTTCCTCCGTGGCTGCTTCCTTGGCTTCCTGACTGCCCTCCTTTTACGCAATTTTGTCTTCCTTCAAACTTCCTCAATACTATTTCTTGCTCGCGAACTGGCACTAGCTCGAAGCTTGCTGCTTGCCTCCAGGACAATACACACCGGCCCAAACATATTCAGGCCATCCTACGCTGTCTGCCTGGTATCTGATGGCTTATTTTTCCGTCTCCCCCTGTGAAAGCCTCTTGAATTCCTGAAGTTTGGGCTGGATTCATCAATGCTCACGCGTTCAAATCGGCCAGCTGACGACCCATCCAGCATGCCGCCATAACTAAAGTTCTACTCTCTCGAAGGGTTGATAGAAAGCATATGTAGCGGGGCAAATCCGGGGGGGCTTAATTCATTTCTTTGACCTTCAATTATCGCTTGATTTCGGCCGAAATTCTGGGAGGATTTGTCTATCAATTGTCTATCCGCATCTTTATGAATGGGCCAACTGTGAAAACAGGCTCATATCCCTCTGCAAGTACCACACGCGTGGGTTCGGATCAAGCCTGCCGTTCTATTGTTTGTTGATGCGGGCAGTATTTAGGGCAAAACAAAGGGTTAGCGCCGGCCCGGAGACAGGCTTGCTCCGAACCTACCACACGCGGTCCGTTAAACTCGCGATTGTCTCTCCGCTGCAGGAGCGAAGCGGCGGCACGTCTTGTACACTACGACAATTCTGTGCTCGGAGAACATGCAGAAACGATCTTGACCAAACGAACGGCGGGAAGGAAACAAACTGGTTGAATCGTATTCTCCGTGATCCAGTCGTGAAAAAAAAATGGACTGAGGAACCTGACGGGAAACGGCCTGATCATTTCATGATCTCAGAAATCTGAAACTTTTTGTTAGAAGGGGGCGACGACGAGGACGGAGGGACGTGCCATCTGCGAATCAAAATACTGTCTGGTCCACTTCTGCTTCGACCGAATGTCTATCTCGAGCCCTTCCCGACGCATCTCCCGCAATCTCGCCATCGGAAACCCAAGGTCGGAGATAGCATCATAATCATTGTCAAAGGTCAACGAGAATGACCTGAGCTTTGCCGCATCCGATCTGTCCGTCCACCGTGCAAACAACATGTTTGCGAGGGAGCACACGTCAATGCAGCGGTCTATGGCTTGGAGACTCAACGAAGTCAGCTCGAGGAGATCCCTCTCGTCGGCCATATAGCTGAAGAATTCTTCAAATTCCGAATGACTCCATGTGAGTAATGTCAGCGAAAGCTCTCGGATGAAGGGTAGGCTCGTGATGCACTCATACGCGGCATCAACGGTGGGTGCCCGAAGACGTAGCACTCGCAAGGGGCATCCCGACCGATTCACCAGTGCGTTCACTCGAGTTCCCGCTTCTGAGGACACAGAAAGTAGGGTAAGCGCGTCGAGAATGGGAAGTATGAGGTGGTTGAGGAACGTATCAGGACATTCGATGCTGTGGAGACGACGGAGTATGTGAGGCAATGCGACAATTGTATTCCGCGAGGCAGTAGGGTGGCGAATACTGAGCATATCCAGATTAGGTGTTTGCTCCAAGATCTCGAAACACTGGGGAAGAGTTTGGCGAGAAAGGCGGAGATCTGTAAGTTGTGCCCAGGGCAGGGAGATCTGGGGAAGTGAAAGCGTGTCGATGTGTGCCTCCCGAAGAAGGGGAGTGTTGAGAAAAGTGGTAATGGCGGTCCATTGGGTTGCTCCAAGGATTGCGAGATCCACTTTTGTTAAGAACCGGAATGGAGCCGTATCCACCGGAAAAAAATGGGACGTGATTGACCACAGACGGAGACTTTTGCACCGCGACCACTCTGCCCGCAGGAGCGGGAGAAGTGCATCCGCTTGAGTCTCAGGCTCAGTGGATTGATATATCGTGAGGTCTAAATGCAGCGGAAGATCCCCAGAGCGCGAGAGCCACATCTGGAGGAGCTTCACTTTGCGATCTACGTCGTTGCTGACATTCATGTAAACACGGTTCCACAATGCGCCGCAGGAGACGGTGATTGCCCTCCAGAGGCGGCAAACACCAGTCACCGTCAACAGGTTGCGGATCAGACCGTCGTGCTGCTCCAATGCCCTTCCTCCGTAGACGTAATACTCGAGGATTTGAGTTGTGAGCTCGGGGGGGATTGTAAGGACGGGGTACACGACCGAGTTCAAAGCGTCTGAGGCAGCGCGCCTCTCGGTGTGTAGGAGATCCAATTGGGCCTCCAGACGCGCAATTCTGCTATCGATCTCTGCCAACTGGTAGCGAAGGGTAGAGGCGCTGGCGGAGGTGAGCGGAGGCTGGGAATCGCGGGTTTCCGCTGCGAGTGTCGCTACCTGCAAGGGCCGAAGAGACATCGAAAGTGGATAGGAGTGGGGTGCCTTCTGGTGTCTTGAGCTCAAAAGCGTCGTCGTGTACGAAAGGCCGATCAACTTGCCACGTGATGCACAGCCACGGGTGATCTCGGGCCGGGCGGTCAGTCAGAAGCCGATCGTGCCGGGTTCAAGTTCAAGTTCGGTTTTTCCATCAGCTTGTTACATGTATGCCTCAAATTTCACTTCATGACGGTAAGCGGCCTTGACTTACTTTCATCTCCTGTGCACACCGGCAGGGCGGCTGCCGTTCCTGATTCTCGCTCGCTGTTCGTTTGAATTGAAGATTCAGGGAATCGTCTTAGCCATCCTCCCATGCACTCCTGCCTTTTGCTTGTCCACCGCCTCACGCATGAGTCAAGAGCAAAAATATCGGGTGTGATGTGCGGCGCACAGCGAGTGCTAGTATGGCAGTTTTCATCTCACAGCTCGCTGGTCGGGGTTCGACTCCCCGCGTCCGAATCCGCCGTTTGGCTCTTGAGGCATTCTTTTTCCCCTGTCCCCTATATACTCAGCTATGTCACCACACAGGTACACATCTATGCCGTTTACTATCGTTTCAGCAGAACTGCAGCTGAAGTCTCAACTCAGGTCTACGTATGAAGCGCGTCCAATATTTCTTCCGCTGTATGTATCGTTCCTAAGTCCTTGCCCTCCCCTCTAAACAGATGGCAATCATTGGATCCGACTACTTTACTCCATGTTCACTTCATACCCTGCACAGACTCGGTGGCGAGATGCTCGCATCCACATTCTATGAAGTGATGAGATTCCATGTTGATTTGTGGAATTCGCCTGTTCGAACCGGGCCCGAGTCGTGATCTTTTCCGATATCTTTTCTTTTGAGGATTTTTTTTTCTGCGCCTCAAATGTCATGATCTTGGTGACATATTGCGCAAGGCACTGGTGTTACTTATCCGCCTTGCACCTGAATGGTCGGGATAATTTCTCCCTGTAATCGTTGCTTTCGTCTTCTAAACCCGCACCCGTCCTGGTTGATTCGAGCTGCATTATTCCGAATTATTCACGTTTACCTCGCATTTGCCTCGCACTGTGATGATACACCGACTCGGTTGCGAATGGTTCGTATCCCCGCAGGCTGGAGGCTTGAGAACGTCATGGTCCGGGGAATTTGCCTGTTCGATTCAGGCCCGAGTCGTGACCGTGATTTGACGCCTTTTTCGACAGTCGTCCTCTGAATCCACATTCGTCCTCATTAATCCAGTCACAATCACCCGGGAAAATCGCCTGCTCGTGGCCCGAGTCATGAGCGATTTTCAGCCTTTTGTTTCCCTGAACTGCCGTTCGAATCCACACTCGTCCTCATCAATCCAATCTCGTTTATTCAAGAAAAAATGAGACAGGAGAACGACTCAGTAGCGGACGGTCCACATTCCCGCATGCTGAGATCCTCTTGCATATTTAAGCCGGGGAAGTTGCCTGTTCGACTCAGGCCCGAGTCATGCGTTGTGATTTTCCTATCTTTTTTCCTGAACTGTCCTCTGAATCTACCCTCGTCCTCGTCCTCGTCAACCCAATCTCAATTATTTAGGAAAAAAAATGAGACAGGTGAATGGCTCGGTAGCAGACGGTTCGCATCCATGCAAGGTGGCGAGATCATAGCAATAACATAACCCGGGGAAGTCGCCTGTTCGACTCAGGCCCGAGCCATATGTCGGTCGTATTGCCTTTTTCCTTTTCCGGCGTACTCTGAATGGACGGGTCACTTTCTGACTTGCCAAAGTAACTTGCACCCGCGCCAATCAACTTGGATTAACTTGTGCGT